CGGGAGGGTAACAAGGGAAAGTGTTCAGTGCAGATCAGTGAGTAAGCACAAGCCTGCCCATGCTTACCTCGCTCCTGGTTACTAAGCACAAGCCCGTCTGTGCTTACCTTGCTCCCGGGGACTAAGCACAAGCCCGCCCGTGCTTACCTTGCTCCCGGAGACCCGGTCCCTCTCGGGAGGGTAACAAGGGAAAGGGGCTAGGCTTTATAAAGATGAAAAGATTCATGTACAAAGTTGAGTTCTATTTTGTCCTTATTATTATTTTTTTTTAGGATCAAGGAATCAACTCTGGAAATGTTTCTGTCTAGAATCTTGGCATCTTGGACCAATTCAGCCATATGTGTCCTTGAATCAAGTTCTCCAAGCCTAAAGAACAGTCTGAATGGGAATTCAAGCATAGTTGAGAGACTTTTGGAGTATGTGTATACCCATTGGGAACATCCATTGGATGCTCTGAGACACCAAACTAAAATCATATTCAACAATCTTCTTCAAATGCACCAGCTCACTATGGAAGGGGCAGATTTGGTCACTGATCATTTCTTTTTGGGACTAACCGAGAGTCTTCTGCGATTGGAGTGGCATGTTAAAGGAAAGTACACATGCCTTGGTTGTTTGGTAGAATGTATAGGATTTGAGCGTATTTTGGCAGTAGATAAAACTATTCCATCTCAAATTTTAGAAGTAATGGGGGACCAGTCATTGGTTCCTTATGCAAGTGATCTCTTGGAGACCATGTTTAAAAATCATAAGAGTCATTTGAAATCCCAGGCTGTTGGCAGTACTTGGATTGACCAATTGCATGAGACTTGGATTTCTCCTCTACTTTTTATTCTGTGTGAAGGAAGTGTAGATCAAAAGTCTCATGTGATTGATTATTACTTGCCCAAATTGTTAAATTGCAGCCCTGAAAGCTTAAGCTATATGGTAAAGATTCTTCAGACTTCTGCTGATTCTAAAATTGGTAAGAAAATGAATTTTTGTTTTAGTAATTTCTGTTTATGATGTTTAGATGAGGGTAACTAGGTAGATGTTGACCATATTTAAGTTTATAATAATTACCACTTTTATAAATAAAAATAAGGATATTGACAATGGTGACTCAAAATTGAAACGATTTTTCCTGTATATAACTGGATAGTTTTTTGACTGAAGTCATTTCTATAAGCTAAGGAATGATTCCAGTGTGATTATAAGGTTTTTTTTTTATTACTAGGTTTAATTCATTTTATAAGGTTCTTATTTATGTCTGTTACATTTTAATGTTAGAATAGAGTAAATGTGCATTTTATATAATTTGCTTATTCAGATGATTGAAAGATAATTAAGTATCATGTTGGACAAGGCTAAAGACAGACAAATTGGCAGTAGCAAGTTTTTCTCTCTAGGGGAAAAAACATAATTTTGAGGCAAGACCTCAAGAATAACTGTCTCATTCAAAATAGGAACAAACATATTTGAAACTTAGTGATCTTGAAGAAATCACTGCATTAAAGCACAGTTCAGTAATTAATGTGTAAAATGAAAATCCTTACTTGGAAATCTTAACATTATTATATTCTGTATAACAATGCAGGAATATGGCAATCTTTAGATCATTTCAAGAAATGTTTTTAGCTAACATAGTTAAAGCCTTCAGTATTTCAAAGAATGACATGAGGTACCTGGAAAATGTGATTCCTATAAACAAAAATGAGTCATTAGTTATAATTTTTAACAGAAGCTATTCTTAGCTTTTTGAGACATCTTCTAAAATTCAGGATTTCTAAATCCATTCTGAAGTAAAACAATAGTTAAAAAAAATACCATTGCAGTTAATTCGATTCTGACTCATAGTGACCCTATAATAGGACAGAGTAGAATTGCCACAGTAAAGTTTTCTCTTCTGTTACAGAAGCAGACTCCTTATCTTCTGTTCAGTGGCTGGTGGGTTCTAACTGCTGACCTTTTAGTTAGCAACTGAGTGCTTTAATCACTGTGCCACCAGGGCTCCTATTCTGAAATAAGGCTGCCTTTGAAATATGAAGGTGCTCTCACACTCTGTGAGCCAGATCTCCTGTTGCCTTAAGAGTGGCTGATGGTCTAGTCTCTCAAAACATCAGGTTTATTTTGTAAAGATTATTATTCCTCAGGATGATGGAAATCACTGACTCTTGTCTTTTACTAGTAAGAAACAGGAATTTCAAAGTATGCAAAGAAATTCAATGTTTATTTTCAGAGAAATACTGGTCTTTTATCACAGAGGTGTTTTTCCTGATTCATTTTCTAAATGTCAAAGAAAAAGTAAAGATTTTAACAAATAAATTGAGGTCTTAAATTTAGAAACCAATAAAAAAGTTATGCTCATTTGAAATGATTGATATAAAGCTATTAAACCATTTACAATAATGATTATTTTATAATAGATACCAGAATTCATGTTAGAATTTAGCTTACAATGTGATTTTTATTTCTTGAAGTATAATATTAATTAGAAATAGGACGATGTAGTCACTGAAAGTTGTAACAGCCATTGCATAGCGCAGTGACAGTCTTTGTTACTGTGCTTTCTGGACAAGAGCAATCTTTTCCATCTTTAGGGTCTTGTAATAGCAGAGGGGCTTTGGGAGCTTTGATGGCGTGTCTGCGAACAGCTAGAGCTCATGGGCATCTCCAGTCTGCAGGTGATACCTGGGTGAGCCTTGTGTCCAGTACAAGAATAAAGCAGGGCTTAATTCATCAGTGCTGCCAGGTAGGTAAACATAATAACTGGGATTTATACACTTCTCGGAAGGAAGGTTGGGCAATCCTACTTCTGTAATGATACTGCCTCGGAAACCCAAGGAGGGGTCGCTATGAGTCGGGGCCAACTCGATGGTACATAACAACAGCAACAACAATACATTCTGTAGTACCCTTGATTCATTTATTCAGTTATCAGTGCAATATAGAAGCCCCTACATTGTACTCAGCACTGGTTTAGGGAATCCTTGAAGAGGATGATTAGAAAGTAAAAGATGTAGACTTTCAGGCTACTTACAGTGTAGTGGAGGACATGAGAAAACCTGAATGAAACAATGGTTGCAAATATGCCCTGGCATATACAAGAGGACTTGGGAGACTTGGAAGAAGAGAGTGAACAGAGAGGTTGAGGTTGACTAGGATTGTTAGATAGATGGTGTAGAGGAGAGGAAGCATTGGAGCAGTACAAATTAACAAGGTCTGGAGGATGATTAAGGACATACTGTTGGCAAGAATGGAGGAGTGCCTTGTTTCTGGAAGGCTGTAGTGCTAGGCTGAAGATGTCAGATTTCAATCAGTTGTTAACTGGGAACCAAAGCCACTGTTTTTAGCAAGGACCAGAGTGGTGGTGGTGGTGTTATAACACCTAGAAATCAGAAGACTAGTTAGAAGTGCGTGATAGTAATACAAGAATGAGTTGATGAGGTCATGGGGTAAAGTGGTCGCTGAGACAAAAAGAGAAAAAGAAAGGATGCTGAGCATGATCATGGAATAAGAATCTTTAAGATTGTTGACTTTTGTAAATGTCCAGTTTACACACTTAATAAAATAATTTTATAGGAAATAATCACAGGATCTTTGGGATTAGGAAACGTCTCTGATGTACATATCGGTGAATTGAAATTTAATTTTTCTCCCCTTTGCAGCCTGTGTAAATATTTAAATATTTTTAGTGGTTTAATTGACATTTATTTCATTGGAAAATTTTGCTTGATGTATTTTAGGTACGGATAGATACATTAGGCTTGCTTTGTGAAAGTAATCGAAGCACAGAAATTGTTTCCACAGAAGAAATGCAGCTGATTCAGTTCTTTATTACATACAATCTTAACAGCCAGTCTCCAGGAGCGCGGCAGCAGATTTGTTCACTTCTTAAAAAGGTAGAATTTCCCATCAGAAAGTATAGAAATGATTATTGAATCATTAGAAAGGTGGTGAATTCTGCTCTGAAAATAAATTTTTGAAAGAGCCCAGATTTTGGGAGAGTGGAAATGACTGGAATTGGACCACCACCTCTCTCCACATGGCCCTTCTGTGACCTGCTGTTCTATAAATACGCATGATTAGATCAAAATCCACTATGAATAGTCCTTCCATTTTAGTGAACTAAATGAACCTCATAACCTGTTTTTTAAAAGAAAAAAATCTAGTGCTTGAGTTCTTGGAGTGTAAGGTGGTTTAAGAAAATTGTGGTAAGAGGAGGAAGGAAGCCCTTTTGCATTTTTGTAGTTTTCTTTAATTGCCTCACGAAACAGTCATTAGTGAAATCCAAGTTGAATTAATCACATGACACATTTATGGGGTGAAGAATTGGTGGAGTATAGAGATGAGTATATTTTCTTCAGGTTCATGCCAATTTAAAGGAAATAAGAAAACTGTGGTCTAATGACTGTGTATTCTGGTTTGCAGCAATACTTGGTTTTTTGGTCTTAAAAATATAAATGTTAATATTCTCTCAAAATGAAACACTGTAAAATACAACTTCCTTTGCCTTTCAAACTACCATTTAAGTTTAATGTGGCTCACATATGCTTCATTTTTCATTTTTCTTTTTCTCAAAAGCTGTTTTGTAGGATACAGGAAAGTTCTCAGGTACTTTATAAATTGGAGCAAAGTATGTCCAAACATGAACCAGAGAATGAGTTACCCAGACAGGACCCTTCTGTTTCTTTACAGCAGTACAAGGTAGGTAATATATTTCTAGATAGACAGATTTTTAAGAAACCTAAAACAGTTATAAACAAACATTAAAGGAAAAGAAATGGAAGTCTCTTGGTCAGTTGTTGTTGTTGTTAAGTGCCGTTGAGTCGTTTCCGACTCATAGTGACCCCATGCACAGCAGAACGAAACACTGCCCGATCCCGCGCCAGCCCCACAAGCCCTGCTATACTTGAGCCCATCATCTCAGCCACCACATCAATCCATCTCCTTGAAGGCCTCCCCCTCTTTCGTCGACCCTCCACCCTACCAAGCATGACCTCCTTCTCCAGGGAATGGTCCCTTCTTACAACATGACCAAAATAGGTGAGATGAAGTCTGGTCATTCTTGCTTCCAAGGAGCATTCTGGCTGCACTTCCTCCAGGACAGATCTGTTAGTTCTTTTAGCAGTCCACGGTACTTTCAGCATTCTTCGCCAGCACTACAACTCAAAAGCATCAACTCTTCTTCGGTCTTCCTTATTCATTGTCCAGCTCTCACATGCATACCAGGCGATTGGAAATATCATGGCTTGTGTCAGGCGCACCTTAGTCCTCAAGGAGATATTCTTGCTCCTCAGCACTTGAAACAGTTCCTTCGCAGTTGACCTTCCCAATGCTACACGTTGTCTAATGTCCTGACTGCTGCTTCTGTTGGCATTGATTGTAGAACCAAGCAACGTGAATTCCTTGACAACCTCAATCTTCTCTCCATTGATTGTGATGCTGCTCATTGGTCCAGTTGTGAGGATTTTTGTTTTCTTTATGTTGAGATGTAATCCATACTGCAGACTGTATTCTTCAACCTTCATCAGTAGGTGCCTTAAGTCATCCTCACTTTCAGCAAGCAAAGTTGTATCGTCTGCATATCTCAGGTTGTTAATGATTCTTCCTCCAATCCTGATACCACGTTTTTCTTCATATAGTCCAGCTTCTCAGATTATTTGCTCAGCATATAGATTGAATAAGTGTGGAGACAGAATACAACCCTGACGCACTCCCTTCTTGATTTTAAACCATGTAGCGTCCCCTTGTTCTGTTCGTACGACAGCCTCCTGGTCAAGGTACAGATTCCTCATGAGTACAATCAAGTGCTCTGGAATTCCCATTCTTCTCAATGTTATCCATAATTTGTCATGATCCACACAATCAAATGCCTTTGTATAGTCAATAAAGCACAAGTAAACATTTTTTGGTATTCCCTTCCTTGAGCCAAGATCCATCTGACAACAGCTATGATATCCCTTGTTCCACGTCCTCTTCTGAATCCGGCTTGAACCTCTGGAAGTTCTCTATCAGTATACTGCTGCAAACGTTTCTGAACGTTTCTTGGTCAGTAGTGTTCTATTTTCCTTCATTCTGGCTTTTCTATATTCCTCCTGGTGCTTCGGTACTTCTCTTGGAGTGGCCTGGGGTTGAGGAACTAGTGTTGGATTTGAGATCCATCACAGAATGTCTTTAATGGGCTAATCTCAGTAATTTACAGTTTATGGGCCGCATGAATTTAGTACTTAAAAAAAAAAAAAAGATGAGTGACAGGTGCTGACCTTCCCTACGTCAGAGTAGAAGACTGGTGTGTCTGGGTCTGCTTTCCTTTTAGACTACTGTGACTTACAATTGCTTAATATTAGTGATTCCTGGTTCATGATCTAGTTTTGGAGGTTTCTTTCTATCACATTTTGGGGTGAACTTGAACAGTAGGGCGGGGTTTCAGGGCACTGTTAATGGTAGATAGAACCCCAAGTACAGCAGCTCAGCCTGGACCAGAACTCATCTAGACAACACTTCCCCTCCGTTTCTTCCCATCTGAACAGAATGAGCTTTTTTCACTGACTAAGAACCCCAAATCTAACCTCTCACAAGTAGCCCCTTATTTTCTCCTAAGACCCAGACAGAGCACTGTTTTATCTCATTTAAGGAAACAAGTATAATAAATTAACGATACATTCGAGCCATGACATATTCACTGCCAACTGTAAACATTAAATTGATATATAGCCTTGGTTTTTAATTTTGTATTTAAAAGGCAAAAGATAGTCTAAAGAAGAATTTTCCTGTGCGGAGGCTGCACTCAGCTTCACCTTTGAAAAATCCCAACTCTGAAGATTAGAAAGTTACAACCTGAATTTAAGAACATAGGCTGCCACTTATTAGTTGACTGACTTTATGGGATTCCTCAACTAACAGTGGGATTAACAACCTCCCTCAAAAGGTTGCTTTTGAGGATTAAATGAGAAAGTGACTGTAAGTCACTCTAACAGTGACAGTTATTTGTTAGTCACTCTTTGATCATTGCTAGATTTAAGAAAATAAATCTCTTCTGCTTCATTTTGCAAGGGGTAAGATGATATATATGAAGTCTCCATTAGCAATTTAGAAACACAAAACTTATACTGTGGATTCAGGTTCTGAATTTTCATGTACAGGCAGTCCCTGGGTTGTGAACAAGATCCGATCCTAAGTATGTCTTTTTAAGTTGAATTTGTAGGTAAGTCAGAACAGGTGCATACATTTCTTACTTATGCGTACTTTGGTGCAAGAAAAGGCTGGAATGATTTTAAAGCTGCAGGAGCAGGGAGTGAAGGTGAATTTGTTGTGAGTAGGGGCTGGTTCAGTTGTTTCAAAGTGAAAGCAAATTTATATAACGTTACTAAAGGGCAAGTACAAGTTGTCCATAATATTTGTAACCAAAGGACTTACTGGATATGACTTCTCAGTTTTTCTTTTGGGTATCTACTTTTTGAACATTGATCTTTGAGTCTTAATCTGAGTCATTTTTAGAACATCCATTATTTTTGACATTTTGGCTCAACTTGTAGTCACCTGTGGTTTTTGGAGGTTGTGATCTTGGCACTGTATCATCATTGTCGTCATTATAACAGTGGGTGCCATGTGTAGTGTGTGATGGGCTCAGTGCCTATCAGTGGCTGAGAGTGAAGGAGAGGCAATTAATTGGAAATGATGTTTTCTAGTCTACTGCAGGAGTTTATTTCTTACTTAACCTGTTGCCATCAAGTCGATTCCCCCTCATAGTGACCCTGTAGGACAGACCAGAACTACCCCATAGGGTTTCCAAGGCTGTAATCTTTACAGAAGCAAACTTCCTCATCTCTGACTTTTTGGTTAGCAGCTAAGTGCTTAACGACTGAGCCACCCGGGCTCCTTATTTCATACTTACATAACTGATATTAATAATTAGAGTACTTTAAAATTTACAAAATGCTTTATATACATGTTGTCATTTACTGTTTATTAACAAAGCTGTGAGGTAGGTGTTATTATCTTTGCCTAACAAGTGGAAAACTGAAGCTTAGAGGAGTTCAATAACCTGCCCAAGATCATTCAGCTAATTCGTAAGGGTAGAAAAACCAAACTAAATCCACTGCCATCAAGGTGATTCTGACTCATAGTGACCCTTTAAGACTGAGTAAGCTGCCTCATAGGGTTTCCAAAACTGTAAATCTTTTACAGAACCAGACTGACTGTCTCATCTTTCTCCCGCAGAGCAGCTGGTTAGTTTGAACCATCGAGTTTTTGGTTAGCAGCTGAATGCCATCAGAGCTCCTTAGTGAGGGTAGAGGCAGAACTCAAATTTAGCTCTGCTCTTGACTCTAAAATCTGAATGTTTTTTTCCCTTAGTACCAGTTTAAACGAAGGCTTAGAGGTAAGAAGTGCAAGGAAATTTGGAATGGTGAATTCACTGGTGTGAATGACATATAAGATACTTGGGAGAATCGAGGTGTTGAGTCATGGAAAATGAGGCTAAAAAATTGAATTGAGAATGTGGACTAGAGAGTTTTGAAGACTAGGCCAAGTTGTTTGGAAGCCTCGAGGGGAGTCATTGAAAGTGTCTCAGCCACACAAGAAGCTCAATATATGCTTAGGATGAGAGATCCAAATGTACAAACTGTTGTCCCTGTGGTCACAGAACTATATCTAAAAATATAAATAACAGTTCAGTGTTGTTGTTGTTAGGTGCTGTTGAGTTGATTGTGACTCTTAGTGACTCAGTGTACAGCAGAATGAAACACTGCCCTGTCCTGTGCCATCCTCAAAATCATTGCTATGCTTGAGCTCATCATTGCAGCCACTGTGTCAGCCCATCTCATGGAGGGTCTTCCCCTTTTTTTTCTGACCCTCCACTTTACCAAGGATGATATCCTCCAGGGACTGGTCCCTTCTACTACATGACCAAAGTAAATGAGATGAAGTCTGGCCATTCTAAGGAGCTTTCAGCTACACTTCTTCCAGGATAGATACACCATTATAGGATAATTCTTTTTCTTTTCTTTCTTTCTTTTTTTTAATTTTATTTTGATTTGGGTGAAGATTTACAGAGTAAATTCACTTTTCATACAGCAGTTCACATATACTTT